AATTCCAGAGCCAAGAGGCAATATCAGGGGAAGGCCTCGGCCTCTACGCCCTGTTGTTGGCCCTCCAGAGGAACTACTTGGTCACTGTGTGAGACGGGATGCCGGACTAGCCAGTCTGGTGTAGTGGCTAAATGCGTGGACTCTAATCTGGGAGAACCGGGTTTGATTCCCCACTCCTCCACTCACAGCTGCTGGATGACCTTGAGCGAGCTATAGTTCTGTCAGAGCTGTTCTCTCAAGGACAGTTCTGGAAAGAGCTCTCAGTCCCATCTACCTCCCAGGGTGTCTGTTGTGGGGAGGGGAAGGAGTTTGTAAGCCTCTCTGAGACTCCGAATGAAGGGTGGGGTATAAATCCAATCTCTTCCTCCTCCTCCTAGGTGGGCCCTCACTGGTCTGACCCAGCAGGGCTCTTCTGATGTTCTTAGGAGGGGAAGGCCTCGGCCTCTCTGCCCTGTTGTTGGCCCTCCAGAGGAACTGGCTGGCCCCTGTGTGAGACGGGATGTTGGACTAGAGGGATTCTCACTGGTCTGACCCAGCAGGGCTCTTCTGAAGTTCTTAGGAGGGGAAGGCCTCGGCCTCTCTGCCCTGTTGTTGGCCATCCAGAGGAACTGGCTGGCCCCTGTGTGAGACGGGATGCTGGACTAGAGGGATCCTCACTGGTCTGACCCAGCAGGGCTCTTCTGAAGTTCTTTGGAGGGGAAGGCCTCGGCCTCTCTGCCCTGTTGGCCCTCCAGAGGAACTGTCTGGCCCCTGTGTGAGATGGGATGTTGGACTAGAGGGATTCTCACTGGTCTGATCCAGCAGGGCTCTTTTTATGTTATGTTATGCTCTTTTGTGTCCACCTGATTTCTGAGACGTACATATACTAGGAACAGAGCGAGATCAACACAAGGGAACTCAGTCTGGGGTGACAAAGACTGAGGGGGAATAAACCTGGCTGACCACTATGACTTCAAAGACAATATGCATTGGATGGGGCTCTGTGCCCCCCCAAAGAAAGTTTTCCTGAGACGAAGAATCCTCTTCTTTTTGGGCTCTGATCACCACAGATGATGGCAGGGGCCTCGTTGGTCCTTTCCGCACTTGGTTTTATCAGAGTTCAACTCGCAACACAATACCTTGCACTTACCCCTGGTTATAACAGCATCTGCAAGTGTGGGGCAAAACCGGGATGACCCCAATGTAAGGTGGAAACAAAAAATACCCTGAGATAATTATACTGGTGAACTGAGCACTCGGGTTAGAATGGATCAAAGGAAGTCCTTCTTCACCCAGAGAGTGATGAACACATGGAATCCACTGCCACAGGAGGTGGCGGCGGCTACAAGCATGGACAGCTTCAAGAGGGAAGTGGATAAACATATGGAGCAGAGGTCCATCAGTGGCTATTAGCCACAAGGTATAGATGGGAGCTCTCAGGCTGAGGCAAGGGATGCTCTGTATTCTTGGCACTGGGGGGGGGGAACAGTGGGAGGGCTTTTGGTGTCCTGGCCCCACTGCTGGACCTCCTGATGGCACCTGGTATTTTTGGCCACTGTGTGACAAGAGTGTTGGACTGGATGGGCCTTTGGCCTGATCCAACATTGGCTTTTCTTATGCTCTTATGTCTGGAGGAAGTGATGCTCCGTCTTCTTGGTGCTTGGGGGGGGGTCAACAGTGGGAGGGCTTCTAATGTCCTGGCCCCACTGCTGGACCTCCTGAGGGCACCTGGTATTTTTGGCCACTGTGTGACACAGAGTGTTGGACTAGATGGGCCATTGGCCTGATCCAACACTGGCTTCTCTTCGGTTCTTATGTAACTCGAGTGTCGTGTAGAATGTAAGTTCAGGGACGGGGTTGAAGCAGGATTTAAGGTCTAGTGTGGAATCACTCTTTGTGAACCTGACATCCATCCAACACTGACCCTTCACGCTTCCTGCCCTGCCACCCCCCAGCCGCCGCCCCACCCCCCAAGACTCACCCACGATGACCCGTGCAAAGGTGCGATCTTCGGCACCATCTTCAGAGTAGACCATGCTGACAAAAGCCCGGTTGGCAGCCGGCTTCCCTACCGGGGCCCCGTGGATCAGGTCCCGCAGGGTCTTCACTCTCAGGTTGCTGGTCTTCTCGCCCAGTACGAAGCTGATGGCATCCATGAGATTCGACTTGCCTGTGGAGATAACAGCAAGGAAACCACAATTTATTTCCCTTTCTGCCTTCCAGGGTGCTGCAGCGGTGAACAAGGCAAACTCCATGTTAGGGACTGTTAGGAAAGGGACTGAGAATCAAGCAGCTAATTTTGTAATGCCCCTGGCCCTAATATGGATGAACGAGAATTCAGCCAAGCGTCTACTTAGCATATACAAACATACCATCTCAGTGGGAACAAGACTCATTAGGTTAACCTGGTCTCAGAAGAACAGAAACACACCAGCCTTTATTTCATAGAATCATAGAATGGAAGGGGCCTTGCAAGTCATCTAGTCCAACCCCTGCACTCTGCATTCTTCATTCCTCCCTTCCAGATGGGCCTCCCAATCAGAAGAGACTGAGGCCAGAGCAGCAACTCACGCAGAGACGCAACAGGCAACCTCTTTTCTGGGCACAGGGCTCACTCTGCACCGTGCTTCTGCACCCAGGAACAAATTCATTTATTATTTTGTGTATACATCTTCTCTCTTTTGACAGAGAACTTGGCGTGCATACATATAATTCCAGGGATCCTTCCGCTAGAGATATCCCAACCGTGGTGCTTCAAGAGGCACACACAGATTTCATACAGGCCAGGTCTATACATGCCGCCACCTCCTGTGGCAGTGAATCCCATGTGTTAATCACTCTTTGGGTGAAGAAGGACTTCCTTTTATCCGTTCTAACCCCGACTGCTCAGCAATTCCATGGAGTGCCCACGAGTTCTCGTATTGTGAGAAAGGGAGAAAAGGACTTCTCTCTCTACCTGTTCTATCCCATGCATAATCTTGTAAACCTCGATCATGTCACCCCTCAGCCGTCGTTTCTCCAAGCTAAAGAGCCCCAAGCGCTTTAACCTTTCTTCATAGGGAAAGTGTTCCAACCCTTTTATCATTCTAGTTGCCCTTTTCTGCATTTTTTCCAATGCTATAATAACATTTCTGAGGTGTGGTGACCAGAATTGCACAGTACTCCAAGATCTCTCTCTTGGTCAGTCTCTGCCAGTTCAGACCCCATCAACATGTATTTCTAGTTAGGATTTTTGGCCCCAATGCACATCACTTTGCACTTGGCCACACTGAACGCCAGTTGCCACTTTGACACCCACTTGCCCATCCTCGACAGATCCCTTTGGAGTGCATCACAATCCTCCCTGGTTCTCACCACCCTGAACAACTTTATGTCATCTGCAAATTAAGCCACTTCACTGCTTACTCCCAACTCCAAATCATTAATAAACAAGTTAAAAAGCATCGAACCGAATACTGATCCCTGCAGTACCCCACTGCTTACCACCCTCCACTGAGAAAATTGCCCATTTATACTCACTCTCTGTTTCCTATTAATTAGCCAGTTTTGAAAGCACAAGAGGACTTGTCCTTTTATCCCATGACTATTGAGCTTACTTAGGAGCCTTTGGTGAGGACATTTATTGAAAGCTTTCTAGAAGTTAAGGTAAACAACATCCATTGGGTCCTCTTTGTCCCCATGTTTGTTCCCTCCCTCAACTAACACTAACAGGTTAGTGAGACAAGATCTTCCTTTACAGAACCCATGCTGAGTCCGCATCAATAGTTTTTGTTCATGACAGGGTGTCGGCTGCGGGAAAGGAGTTTGTAAGCCGTTCTGAGACTCCTTAAAGTAGTGAAGGGCGGGGTATACATCCAACCTCTCTTCTTCCTGTAAAAAATTTCCCCTCCAATATCCAGCTGGAACCTTTCTGTCTGTAATTTAAACCCATTTGGGGGATGGAGCCAGAGGAGGGCAGGGTTTGGGGAGGGGAAGGACTTCAGTGAATGCTCTAGAGACCACCCTCCAAAGCAGCCATTTTCTCCAGGCGAACCGAGCTCTGCACCGTAAAGGTGACTGGAGATTCCGGGAGACCTCCAGGCCCCACCTGGAGATTGGCAACAGCGGAGGCAAAGCGCCTCACTGAGAACTAGGAACTTCGCTCCGCTCGCTTTCAAAAGGCTGTTGGGAGGTGGGAGACCTGGAGGGAGCCCGTCCCCGACCCCGAGCGCCCTACCGGATCCATTGGGCCCGATGATGGCCGTGAAGCGCCGGAAGGGCCCGATGATTTGCCGCCCCTTGTAGGATTTGAAATTCTCGATCTCGATCAGCTTGAGGAACCCCATGGCGCCGCCGGCGGGCCAAGGGGCCTAGGGCGGAAGGGGAACTACGGGGTCCGGGGAGGGACACGGGACCGCCAGGGCCCCACAGCCGCTCGCAACCTCCGGGCCCCCGTAGCCCACCTCTTCAGCCCGCCTTCGAAGACGGCGAGAACTGGGAAACCTCGCGAGAACCGCCGACCACAACCTCCCCCGCGCCGGAGCAAAGGCGAGGAGCGCCCGAGGAGGGGGCTCTCAAGGCGACGGCGGCCGCTGATAGGACGGGGCTGCCGGATGTGCTTTGCATACGATGCTCCACCCCCTCCCTGTTCCTTCCACGGCGGCCGACACGCAGCCAGCGTTCTCCTTCTGCTGATAGGCCCTCAAGCAGGATATGTTTTGCATACAAAGCTCCACCCCTTGTTCCTTTGGGGGCGCCCGACATGCATCCCTCACTCCCTTCCGTTTGTATCTCCTTCCGCTGATAGGCCATCCGGCGGGATATGTTTTGCATTCAAAGCCCCACCCTCTCCTCCTCCGGCCTCTAAGGGGATTGGCTTCTCCTCACGGCGGTCCCGCCCAGCTGGCGCGCTCCATCCCATTATAGGTCCGCTGGCTTTTCAGATTTGCATACGAGCGGGTGAAACCAAAGCGCTCTTTTCCGAAAGGGAGGGGAGACTTAAATGGACCGTCCCGTCGCCATGGAGACGAGGAGGTAAACGCTGCGAGCTGCTAAGGAGCAGAGGAGGCGAGAGACCCCCCAACCGCAAGATTTAGAGGACTGGGATAAAGGTACAGTCGGTCTGGGGGAGAGGAGGGGAAAATGCGAGGAGCGGGAAAGCTGGAGAAGCATATCCAATAGCCTTGCCAAGCTCCCGGTGAGTCCGGGGGATCTCCCGGAATTGCAACAAGTCTTCAGGTTAGAGAGATTAATTGCCCGGGGGGAAATAGCTGTTTTGTAGGAGAACCTCTAGGAGCTGCGGTGGCTCAAGTGGCTAAGACGCTAAACTGGAGGCTGTGGAAGGTCGGTAGTTCAGCAGTTCGAGACCCGGGTTGCCGCATGACGGAGTGAGCTCCCGTCTCTGGTTCCAGCTCCTGCCAACCTAGCAGTTCGAAAGCAAGAAATTGCAAGTAGATAAATAGGTACCCCTTCGGTGGGAAGGTCACAGCGTTCCGTCGGTGTCTAGTCATGCTGGCCACATGACCACGGAAACGTCTTTGGACAGCGCTGGCTCTTCGGCTTTGAAACGGAGATGAGCACCGCAACCCTAGAGTCGGATTCGACTGGCTTACGAGCAAGGGAACCTTTACCTTTTTTTAGGAGAGCCTCCATGTTGTTATACCCCCTTCCCCAAACCCTGCTCCCAAATATCCAGGAATTTCCCAACCCTGGGTTTGCCAACCTCCAGGCAGGGCCCCCGCCTGGTGGAATGAGCTCCCGTGTGAGATCAGGGCCCTGCAGGATTTCTTACAATTCCGCAGGGCCTGCAAGACGGAGCTCTTCCGCCGGGCTTTTGGTTGCTGCAGCGGACGTTCCCCCCCTTATGTCCCCTCCATCTGCAGCCTGGTTCTAGCTATAGTTCTGGGTCCTTGGGATCCTAAATTTAAAGACCTTTATAACAAAAACTGATTCTAACATCATCAACCACTGAAGCATCTGACTTTTATTAGAGCAGTATGGCACCTATGAATTAGGTGTGTTGTGTTTTAAAATGGTTTTAACTGCATTGCACTTTTACTGTTGGAACCCGCCATGAGCCTGTCAAGGAGAGGGCGGGAGACAAATCCCAAAAATTAAATAAAAAATAAATAAGAGTCCTGCTGGATCAGAACAATAGTTCATTTAGTCCAGCCTCCTGCCTCACACAGGGGCCAGCCAGTTCCTCTGGAGGGCCAGCAACAGGGCAGGGAGGGAAGAACATCAGAAGAGCCCTGCTGGGTCAGACCAGGGAGGGTCCATCCAGTCCAGCCTCCCGTCTCACACAGGGGTCAGCCAGTTCCTCTGGAGGGCCAGCAACAGGGCAGAGAGGCCGAGGCCTTCCCCTGAGAAGGACACCAGAAGAGCGCTGCTGGGTCAGACCAGGGAGGGTCCCTCTAGTCCAGCCTCCCGTCTCACGCAGGGGCCAGCCAGTCCCTCTGGACGGCCAGCAACAGGGCAGACAGGCCGAGGCCTTCCCCTGAGAAGAACATCAGAAGAGCCCTGCTGGGTCAGACCAGGGTGGGTCCTGTTAGATCGCACTAACAAAGGACTCTTAGAGTGATTCAGCAAGTGATTCAGCTTTATTGGAAGTAAGGAACAAGCACTCAACTCAGTAAGAAACCAGAACAGAAAACAGTGGGAGCTTATGCTCCTTTTAAACATAACCGGGCTAATGTAGCCACGCCTATTTACAATTAACAACCAATGAGATTGCTTAGTTAAGGACCAATGGGAGTCTTTCCCTCCTAGGGAATGGTATGTTCTGATTGGTCGCTGTTACGAAGCGACCAATAGGAAGTTCGCTCAGAGGAGCCCTGGTATGGCTCGAAGCTTAACATAGGAGCCCTATGAGGTGATTCATGTAAACGTTTCAATACATTCTTGTCACCAAGAATGGAATGAGGCCTGCTAGTTATAATTAGTGACGGCATGGAGGCTGGAGCAGATTTTAGAAGCGTGTCGTTCTCTCTCTCTCACACACACACACCTCACATTTACCTGTTTTTACAGGTGCCAGAATGTACAAAGTGGACCTCCAGGCGGATCTCAAGGAGGCGGCTGCCATCGAGGCCCGCAGGAACCGGGAGAAGGAGAGACAGAGCCGCATCTTCAATGCGCGCCACCGCACGTTGGGAGTGAGGATTCTTGCGAGGCTGTGGGAGGGAGCAGTGTTTGGGGAGGGGGGGTTCCTGGAATCAAGCTCCTGGTTCTCTCACAGGGTGACCAATGGTCTGTAGGAAAAAAGATGTTTTTCTCTGTGTTTGTTGCCAGCTCTGTCCCCTCAACACACGTTAGAAAACTGTACACCCAGGGGTCATTTCCTGCAGGAGCGCACAGGAGCGGAGCTCCGGCAGTAAAGAGCCCAGGGGGCGTGCACATGCAACAAGCCCCACCCCCTGCTCCCAGCAGCCCTCAGTCAGAGCAAGAAGCAGCCAGGGTAAGCTGCAGAGCCGCCCCCCCCCGGTCCGAAACAGTCCAGTGGCACCTTTAAGACCAAGTTTTATTCAGGTACAAGCTCTCCCTCCTCTGTGAGGACAGATGTGCACATCCCCCCCCCCCCAGCTAGCAATCCAAAACAGTTCAGTGGAGCCTGAGCGGTGGGTGTTGCCTTCTGACACACTTCTGGTGATGTCAGGGGGTGTGGCATATGCAAATAAGTTATGCTAATGAGTTATGCTAATGAGCTCCTGCACCTCTTTTTCAATTAAATGGCCCCTGTGTACACCAATGCTGCCTTTGCAGCTAGGCCAGCCAGAAGTCCGCTGGTGCCGTGAACGAAAGACTCTCCCAAGTCCTAATGGGGAAAGTGGTGGAAATCGGCACAACCTGATATATGACTATTGGCATCTTGCTGTTATCACTGTTATAACTAACCGTGATAATAGTAAGATGCCAGTACTCATATATCCTAGGGCCGTGGTGGCTCAGAGATGAAGACGCTGAGCTGCAGACCGGAAAGTCTGTAGTTCGGCGGTTCAAGATCCTAGTGCCGCGTGACGGAGTGAGCCTTTATCGGGAAACCTTTATCTTTTTACTAATATACCAGGTTGTGCCAATTGATGCCAATTTCCCCACTAGGACTTGAGAGAGTCTTCCAAAAGGTGGCTCCGTAGCAGTAAGTACTAACACAAAGAAAGCCTTGCTATCGATTAATTGAAATATTTCTTAACGAAAACAGCTTAATTTCCCTGAAATCTATCTACACAAAAGCTAAGGAGCTTGTAAAAACTTAATTTAAAAATCCTGCTGAGGAATGACAATAGAGAAACTTAACGACTTAAATTTAATTTCAATCATAGTAAAAATAAATTTCTCAGCAAGGGCCAACTCAGCTGCCGAGAGACTTTGTCTGAGATAGGGCTGCCAGGTCCCTCCTGGCCATGTGAGGGATGGGGGGGTTGGGTTGCCATCTCCAGGCTGGGGAATTCCTGGAGACTTGGGGGTGGAGCCTGGGGAAAATAGGTTCCTCGGTGGGGCACAGTGCCAGAGAGTCCCCCCTCCAAAGCAGCCCTTTCCTCCAGGGGAACCGATCTCTGTAGTCTGGAGGTGAGCTGGAATTCCAGGGGATCCCCAGGCCCCACCTGGAGGCTGGCATCCCTGGACCTCAGTGGGCTATAATGCCACAGTCCTCCCTCCAAAGCAGCCCTTTCCTCCAGGGGAACCGATCTCTGTAGTCTGGAGGTGAGCTGGAATTCCAGGGGATCCCCAGGCCCCACCTGGAGGCTGGCATCCCTGGACCTCAGTGGGCTATAATGCCACAGTCCTCCCTCCAAAGCAGCCCTTTCCTCCAGGGGAACCGATCTCTGTAGTCTGGAGGTGAGCTGGAATTCCAGGGGATCCCCAGGCCCCACCTGGAGGCTGGCATCCCTGGACCTCAGTGGGCTATAATGCCACAGTCCTCCCTCCAAAGCAGCCCTTTCCTCCAGGGGAACCGATCTCTGTAGTCTGGAGGTGAGCTGGAATTCCAGGGGATCCCCAGGCCCCACCTGGAGGCTGGCATCCCTGGACCTCAGTGGGCTATAATGCCACAGTCCTCCCTCCAAAGCAGCCCTTTCCTCCAGGGGAACCGATCTCTGTAGTCTGGAGGTGAGCTGGAATTCCAGGGGATCCCCAGGCCCCACCTGGAGGCTGGCATCCCTAGAAAGGATTCCTCAGACTTGAGTGTGGGGGAATGGCTAGGGTTGCCGACTCTGGCTTGGGAATTCCTGGAGTTTTGAGGGTGGAGCCTGGGGAGGTTGGAGTAGAATACCACAGAGTCCACCGTCTAGAGCAGGGGTGTCAAACATGTGGCCCAGGGGCTGGATCAGGCCCTTGGAGGGCTTCCATCAGGCCCGCAGTGGAACCGGCCATCTCCTGCTTCCAGTTCTGCTGCTGCATCTTAGCTTGCTTGGCCAAACTCTCTCAATCGCTCAGCCATTTCAAGTTTCCCTCCTCTGTGAGGGCAGATCTGCACGTTCCCCCCCCCCCCAGTAGCTAGCTATCCAAAACAGTCCAGTGGAGCCTGAGCAGTGGGTATTGCCTTCTGACACACGTCCGGTGATGTCAGGGGGTGTGGCATATGCAAATAAGTTATGCTAATGAGTTATGCTAATGAGCACCTGCACCTCTTTTTCTACGGAATGACCCCTGAGTACCAGGGGGATTCTTTGTTGCTTGCATCCGGGGAGGGTGAGACACCCACATCCCATTCCTGGAAGAACGGGCTTCTGCTACGGCCTGGCTCAAAGCTGCCACTCACTACCACGGTCACTGCTCTCCTTGAAGGTGGACGTGGAAGGCCTGAAGAGTCAGGTGGAACAGCGGAAGCTGAGGGAGGAGGCCGAGAAGCGACGGGATGAAGCCTTCGGTAAGCGTCTCTACTCTGTTTGGGCTTTTGCCAGACTCATAAGAACATAAGAACATAAGAGATGCCAATGTTGGATCAGGCCAAAGGCCCATCCAGTCCAACACTCTGTATCCCACAGTGGCCAGAAATACCAGTGCCATCAGGAGGTCCACCAGTGGGGCCAGGACATTAGAAGCCCTCCCACTGTTGACCCCCCCCAAGCACCAAGATGACAGAGCATCACTTGCCCCAGAGTCCCTATCTATACCTTGTGGCTAATAGCCACTGATGGACCTCTGCTCCATATGCTTATCTAATTCCCTTTTGAAGCCGTCCATGCTTGTAGCTGCCACCACTTCCTGTGGCAGTGAATTCCAAGTGTTAATCACTCTTTGGGTGAAGAAGTACTTCCTTTTATCCGTTCTAACCCGACCGCTCAGCAATTTCATGGAGTGCCCACGGGTTCTTGTATTGTGAGAAAGGGAGAAAAGTACCTCTTTCTCTACCTGCTCTTTCCCATGCATAATCTTATAAACCTCAATCATGTCACCCCTCAGTCGTCGTTTCTCCAAGCTAAAGAGCCCTAAGCGCCTTAACCGTTCCTCATAGGGAAAGTGTTCCAACCCTTTTATCATTCGAGTTGCTCTTTTCTGCACTTTTTCCAAAGCTATAATATCCTTTTTAAGGTGTGGTGACCAGAATTGCACACAGTATTCCAGATGAGGTCGCACCATTGATTTATATAGCGGCATTATGATATTGGCTGATCTGTTTACAATACCCTTCCTAATAATCCCCAGCATAGCATTGGCCTTCTTTATTGCAGTCACACACTGTCTCGACATTTTCAGTGAGTTATCTACTACAACTCCAAGATCTCTCTCTTGATCTGTCTCTGCCAGTTCAGACCCCATCAACGTGTATTTATAGTTAGGATTTTTGGCTCCAATGTGCATCACCTTGCACTTGGCCACATTGAACCCCATTTGCCATGTTGACGCCCACTTGCCCATCTTTGACAGATCCCTTTGGAGTGCCTCACAATCCTCACTGGTTTTCACCACCCTGAACAACTTCGTATCATCCGCAAATTTAGCCACTTCACTGCTTACTCCCAACTCCAAATCATTAATGAACAAGTTAAAAAGCAGTGGACCAAGTACTGATCCCTGTGGTACCCCACTGCTTACACCCCTCCACTGGGAGAACTGCCCATTTATACTCACTCTCTGTTTTCTATTAATTAGCCAGTTTTTGATCCATAAAAGGACTTGTCCTTTTATCCCATGATTTTTGAGCTTGCTTAGGAGCCTTTGATGAGGAACTTTATCAAACCGCATCGTCAGCCAGGGGGTGGGGAACCGGTCAGCCAACCCACCCTCCTCCTTGCATGAAGAAATCGCAGGAGGTCGTAGCCCCTCTGTATACTGCCTTAGTCAGACCGCACCTGGAGTACTGCGTGCAGTTATGGAGGCCTCACTTCCAAAAGGACGTGGGCAAAATCGAGAGGATGTGGAAGAGAGCGACGAGGGTGATCAGGGGTCTGGAGACCGAGCCCTATGAGGAAAGGCTGAGGGCCCTGGGAATGTTTCGTTTGGAGAAGAAGAGATTGAGGGGGGGCAGGATTGCTCCCTTTAAATATCTGAAAGGCTGTCATTTGGGGGAGGGCAAGGAGCGGTTCCAGTTGGCAGCAGAGGAGAGGACCCGGAGCAATGGATTTAAGTTACACGCGGAAAGGTGTCCGCTGGAGATTAGGAAACACTTTTTCACGGTCAGAGTGGTTCAAAGGTGGGATCGGCTGTCTAGGGAGGTGATGGGCTCCCCTTCAGTTGCAGCTTTCAAGAAGAGGCTGGACGAATATTTGTCAGGGATTCTTTAGGCTGGTCCTGCATTGGGCAGGGGGTTGGACTAGGTGGTCTGTATGGCCCCTTTTAACTCTGGGATTCTATGAGAGTATTTAGTGGTGCTTATTTAGTGGCTCGGGAGCCACCCGTGGCTGTTTAGAGCACCGTTCCCCAAGGTAAAGCACCTCCGACGAGTGCACGGGACGGGGCCTTTTCGGTGGCAGCCCCATGATTTTAGAACAACCTCCGCAGGGAGGCATGCCTGGCCCCCTTATTTTCTGTTCTATTGAAACCCACATTTTACTCATTTTAGTTTTTACTTCTCCGCAGTCCTAAGGGGAGTTTTTAAAGTTGGGGTCTTTTGTGTGTGTTTGACAATCGTTTTTATTTCTCTGGTAAGCCGCCTTGGGTTCCACGAGGTAGAAAGGCGGCTCATAAATGTTTTCAGGAGGTAAATAAATGTGGCAGCTGCCCCATGGTCCAGTGGGGTTTGTGGGTGGCCGGTGACTCTCTCCTTGAAACAGCCACCGCCAAGGAAACAGGTAAGCTGTGAGCCTCCCTGCAGTGCAGGCCTCCTGTCATGGATGGAAGTAAATGTGGCTGTATTAGTTTAGGGTGAGGGGGCAAGCTGTGCAACTGGTACCCCTGGCTTAGAGAATTCCAGATTCCCATAACACCGGGCTTTCATTTGAGCTAAACCACCACTGGTGTAGTGGTTAAGTGCGCGGACTCTAATCTGGGAGAACCGGGTTTGATTCCCCACTCCTCCACTTGCACCTGGCTGGATGGCCTTGGGCGAGCCGTAGTTCTGTCAGAGCTGTTCTTGAAAAAGAGCAGTTCCTGTCAGAGCTCTCTCAGCCCTGCCGACCTCACAGGGTGTCTGTTGTGGGGAGGGGAAGGGAGAGGAGTTTGTAAGCCGCTCTGAGACTCCAAGTGAAGGGCGGGGTATAAATCCAATCTCCTCCTCCTCCTCCTCTTCTTCTTCGCTGTCAGGATTACAAAAATGTGCTAAGAACTGTCTGACCAGTGCCTGGGTGAAGGGTCAGAATTCAAAGGATTCTCTGGACAAAACGGCCGAGGGTCGTGTGTTTGAGTGAGGGGTTCAAGGCCCCTCTTGAGAGCCAGTTTGGTGCAGTGGTTAGGAGCACGGACTCTAATCTGGGAGAACCGGGTTTGATTTCCCCACTCCTCCACTTGCACCTGGCTGGATGGCCTTGGGCGAGCCGTAGTTCTGTCAGAGCTGTTCTTGAAAAAGAGCAGTTCCTGTCAGAGCTCTCTCAGCCCTGCCGACCTCACAGGGTGTCTGTTGTGGGGAGGGGAAGGGAGAGGAGTTTGTAAGCCGCTCTGAGATTCCTTCGGATAGAAGGGCGGGGTGTAAATCCAGTTGCCTCCTCCTCCTCTCCTCCTTCCTCTTCTTCCACCCCTCCCATAACTAGCAGATATAGATAGTTCAGCGGGTAGCTGTGTTGGTCTGCAGCAGAAGAGCTGTGTTCGAGTCCAGTAGCATCTTCAATACCAATGAGATTTCAGGGCATAATAGGGTCGCCAGCTCCAGGTTGGGAGATACCTGGAGACTTTGAGGGTGGAGCCTGAGGAGGGCGGGGTTTGGGGAGAGGAGGGGCCTCAGTGGGGTACGATGCCGTAGAGTCCGCCTTCCAAGGTGGCCATTTGCTCCTGGGGAACTGATCTCTCTCTCCCGGAGATCAGTTTTAATCCCAGGAGATCCCTAGCTACCACCTGGAGGGCATAACCTTTCGAGAGTCAAAGCTCCCTTCAACAGAAAGTCTTGTTGGTCTCTAAGGGGCTACTGAACCGAGCAGATCACAGAATAACTCATCCCAAAGAGAAAAAGAAGAAGAAGAGGCGATTGGATTTACACCCCGCCCTTCACTACCCGAAGGAGTCTCAGAGCGGCTCACAAACTCCTTTTCCCTTCCCCTCCCCACAACAGACACCCTGTGAGGCAGGTGGGGTTGAGAGAGCTCTTTTGAGGACTGCTCCTGAGAGAACAGCTGAGAGAACTTGTGACTGACCCAAGGTCACACCAGCAGCTGCAAGTGGAGGAGTGGGCAATCAAACCCAGTTTCCCCAGATTAGAGTCCGCGCTCCTAACCATTACACCAAACTGGCTTCTTCACCAGAGAGACACCCTGGGAGGTAGGCGGGGCTGAGAGAGCTCTTTCGAGGACTGTCCTTGAGAGAACAGCTCTGAGAGAACTTGGGACTTACCCAAGGTCACACCAGCAGCTGCATGTGGAGGAGTGGGCAATCAAACCCGGTTCTCCCAGATTAGATTCCGCGTTCCTCATCACCACACCAAACTCGCTCTCCAAACAACTGATGCAAAAGACAAGCATCTGACCTTTCTGTTTCGAGCCACATAGTTCTCCGTTCCCCCTTTGTGCAGAAATGCCGCTTCTCCCCACCAAATGCACACAGCCTTGTTCCGTATATGCGCTTATCCGCTGTCGGGTCTGTGACCAGGCTGAGCTCACCAAATTCGGCCCGGCAGCGTCCCGTGTTGTCACCCCACGCAGATGCGGACCGGGTCCAGTACGACAAGATTGCCCAGATGCTGGAGGAAGAGGAGCAGCAGCGGAAGAAGCAGCTCAACCAGGAACTGCTGGAGTTCCGGCAGCAGAAGCAGCACCCCTCCACTCGGCGGGAGTGGGACATCCAAGACCCCGCGGTGGTGCACAAGGGGCCTCCGGCCCGCGTGAGCGACGACGACCCCCGCTGCGGCCCTTCGAGTCTGCAGCGCTTTGCGGGCGAGGACCTGAACGGGGTGGCCAGGCAGAAGCGGCTGAAGGAGCAAAACAAACGGGACCTGGAGGAGCAGCGGGCAGAGCGGGAGAAGGCCCAGGCCGACCGCAAGTACGCCGGTGAGTCTGCAATCCGTGGGCGATTCTGCGTCTAGCATTCGCTCCACGTTTTCTCAGCGGGAAGGGGAAAGTGCAGCTCGAAACCACTTTCAGATACTTTGGGCCAGGGGTCATTTCCTGTAGGAAGCTCGTGGCTGAGGCCTTCCCCTGATAAGAACATTAAGAAGACCCTGCTGGATCAGAGCAGTGGTCCATCCAGTCCAGCATCCCATCTCACACAGTGGCCAACCAGTTCCTCTGGAGGCCCAACAACAGGGCACAGAGGCTGAGGCCTTCCCCTGATAAGAACATTAAGAAGACCCTGCTGGATCAGAGCAGTGGTCCATCCAGTCCAGCATCCCATCTCACACAGTGGCCAACCAGTTCCTCTGGAGGCCCAACAACAGGGCACAGAGGCTGAGGCCTTCCCCTGATAAGAACATTAAGAAGACCCTGCTGGATCAGAGCAGTGGTCCATCCAGTCCAGCATCCCATCTCACACAGTGGCCAACCAGTTCCTCTGGAGGCCCAACAACAGGGCACAGAGGCTGAGGCCTTCCCCTGATAAGAACATTAAGAAGACCCTGCTGGATCAGAGCAGTGGTCCATCCAGTCCAGCATCCCATCTCACACAGTGGCCAACCAGTTCCTCTGGAGGCCCAACAACAGGGCACAGAGGCTGAGGCCTTCCCCTGATAAGAACATTAAGAAGACCCTGCTGGATCAGAGCAGTGGTCCATCCAGTCCAGCATCCCATCTCACACAGTGGCCAACCAGTTCCTCTGAAGGGCCAACAACAGGGCAGAGAGGCCGAGGCCTTTTCCTGGTCAGAACATCAGAAGAGCCCTGCTGGGTCAGAACAGGGAGGGTCCATCCGGTTAAGCATCCTGTCTCACCCAGTGGCCAACAGGTTCCTCTGGAGGGCCAACAAACAGGGCCTTCCCCGATGTTGCCTCCTGGCTCTGGGATTCAGAGGCTTAGTGCCTCTGAACGTGGAGGTTCCCCTCAGCCACCATGGCTAGTAGCCACCGATAGACTTATCTTCCATGAATCCATGTAATCCCTTTTTAAAGCTGTTCCTTGCTGTGGCCATCTCTCTGTCCTTTGGCAGCCAATGCCACCTTTTAATCCCTCTCTGCGTCAGGTGGGAGTATCCTGCCTGGCCTACGCTGGGAGAACTCTCACAGTCGACATTCTTTGGCTCCCGTCTGTATTCCTGGTGATTTCTTTGCAGATACCCTGGAGGACAAGAAAAGGATCGAACTCGACCTGCGGGCCCTGGAGTTGGCAGGCCTGGAGGACGAGTGCCGCAGGGCCAAAGCCATGGCGATAGCAGACTTCAACCGGGCCCAGGTATTCATACCCTGCCTCACCAGCCTTTCTGTAGCACAAGATGCAGTGCTGTCTAAGGCAGGGGTCCCCAACACGGTGCCCGCAGGGGCAGGTGGGGCTTCTGATTGACCCTTAGGGAATCAATAGGCTGTGCAGATTTTTGAAAAAGTAGCTTTATCTTCATGGTGTGATACTAGCCATATGGTATAGATGGAACATTCTGTCTGGGGCAGGGATGCTCTGTCTTCTTGGTGCTTGGGGGGCCAGAGTGGGAGGGCTTCTGGAGTTCTGGCCCCACTGGTGGACCTCCCAGTGGCCCCTGGGTTTTGGCCACTGTGTGACACAGAGTGTTGGACTGGAGGGACCGTTGGCCTGACCCAACATGGCTTCTCTTACATTCTTATGTCTAGGGCAGTGGTGCTCTGTCTTCTTGGTGCTTGGGGGAGGCAACAGTGGGAGGGCTTCTGGAGTTCTGGCCCCACTGGTGGACCTCCTGATGGCCCCCGGGTTTTGGCCACTGTGTGACACAGAGTGTTGAACTGGATGGGCCATTGGCCTGATCCAACATGGCTTCTCTTGTGTTCTTATCTCTGGGGCAGCAATTCTCTGTATTCTTGGTGCTTGGGGGTGGGGGGCAACAGTGGGAGGGTTTTTGGAGTTCTGGCCCCACTGGTGGACCTCCTGATGGCCCCTGGGTCTTGGCCGCTGTATGACAACAGAGTGTGGGACTGGATGGGCCACTGGCTTGATCCAACAGGGCTTCTCTTACGTTCTTATCTCTGGGGTAAGTGATGCTCTGTATTCTTGGTGCTTGGGGGGGGCAAGAATGGGAAGGCTTCTGGAGTTCTGGGCCCCGCTGGTGCCTCCCGATGGCCCCTGGGTTTTGGCCACTGTGTGACCCAGAGTGTTGGACGAGATGGGCCACTGGCCTGATCCAACATGGCTTCCCTGATGTTTTTATGACTGAATGTATGCTGCGGCAGCTGTTTTGCGGCTGGCTCCACCTCCTGCAGCAGCTAACCTGTGTCCAAATTGCAAAGGTGCCCAAAGGCTCAAAAAGATCGGGGTGCACTAGTCTAAGGACAAGCGGGGGTGCAGAGATCATGCCAGAACAGGTGGTTATCGTTTGGGACTAAAACATCTGCAGGCCTCCGGCCACCCATGAAATCCTCTCCACGTGTTTCTAAACCTCCTGTCTCTCCCCCAAATCAGGCCGCAGAGGTTGCCGAGAAGCAGCGTCTAGCCCAGCAGCGGGAACAGGATGATAACAACACCGAGATCTACAACCACCTTACTAGCGACATCCTGACGGAAAATCCGGATGTGGCCAAAAGCCTGGTCGGGCCACACCGGATGGTCCCCTACCGCTGGAAGGGGATGACTCCCGAGCAACTGGAGGCCGTGCGGAGAACGCAGAAGGAGCAGTGCAAAGAGAACCAGGCAAGCAGAGCGGAGAGCCCAGGAAAGCGGGCTTGCGAGGAGGCTGTCTGCCAAGGGGGTCCCGACATGTGGGATTGGGGGGGAGGTGCTTCTGCCTGAGGTGTGAGTTCCATAAGAACATCAGAGGAGCCCTGCCAGGTCAGACCAGTGAGGGTCCCTCTAGTCCAGCTTCCCTTCTCCCCCGGGGGCCAGCCAGTTCTTCTGGAGGGCCACCAACAGGGCAGAGAGGCCGAGGTCTTCCCCTGAGAAGGACACCAGAGAAGAGCCCTGCTGGGTCAGACCAGGGAGGGTCCCTCCAGTCCAGCCTCCCGTCTCACTCAGGGGCCAGAGAGCCCTGCTGGGTCAGACCAGGGAGGGTCCCTCCAGTCCAGCCTCCCGTCTCACTCAGGGGCCAGAGAGCCCTGCTGGGTCAGACCAGTGAGGGTCCCTCTAGTCCAGCTTCCCTTCTCCCCCGGGGGCCAGCCAGTTCTTCTGGAGGGCCACCAACAGGGCAGAGAGGCCGAGGTCTTCCCCTGAGAAGGACACCAGAGAAGAGCCCTGCTGGGTCAGACCAATGAGGCCGAGGCCTTCCCCTGATGTTGCCTCCTGGCTCTGGGATTCAGAGGTTTAGTTCCACTGAATGTGGAGGTTCCCCTCAGCCACCAAGGCTAATAGCCACTGATAGGCCGATACTCCATGAATCTATCTAATTCTCTTTGAAAACTGTTTCTTCATTTGACCATCACTACATCCTCTAGCATAGCCATTGTCGTCCAGAAGTCTAGATGAGCATCAAGTCCAGGGGTCCCCAATTTTTTGAGCCTGCAGCCCCTTTCAAACTCTAAGCCATGGTGGTGGGCTCAGCCACAAAATGGCTGCCGGGGAGGTGGAGCCAGCCACAAAATGGCTGCCGGGGGAGGTGGAGGCGGCCACAAAATGGCTGCCGGGGGAGGTGGTGCCGGCCACAAAATGGCTGCCGGTGGAGGTGCAGCCGGCCACAAAATGGCTGCCACAGCTTACCTTCAGTCACACAGTCAACGTACCTTATAAGAGCCCTCTAAAGCACAGCTGTATGAGTAACCCTACTGAGAAATGGAGGGAGGGGGAGAGGAATGACCACTGAGTCTGCAAGAATAGTGGCTGGCCTAAGCCTCTGCCTTCCCCCCCCCCAAAAAAAACAACGAAATCGGAAGCCGTAATCTCCCATCCCCCCCGCCAGCCCTGACGCTTCCTTGCCCGTCTTCTCGCCCCCTCTAGAAGCTGCGGGGAGAACAGCGGCAGTGGGAGGAGGAATGGGACCACCAGCGCCACTTGGCCGCCCGGGCCGGCATGGCGATGGAGGAGCAGGAGCAGGATTTCCGCCTGCAGCTGCGGAAGGGCCTGGACGCCTACAACCGGCAGCTGGCGGAAGCGCAGAAGGCAAAGTGAGTGGGGACGGAGCGGGAGGCGGCTCCGCCATGGGGCAAGCGGGGGGGGGCTTGTGTGCCCGTGCCGGGAAGTCACGGCGACCTCTGGCAACTCCTACTGGGGCTCGGAGGACATTCAGGGGAGTGGCTTGATGTTGCCTGCCTCTGCGTCCCGGCCCTGGTATTCCTTGGCGGTCTCCCGGATCGGCCCTGCTTAGCTTCCGAGATCTTTTTTTTTTTTTAATCCCCTGAAGACAGGGTATCTTTATTTATTTTTGTTACACCTACAAACCAACAGAAATAGAAAGTACCCCGGGATAAAAGGACAGTAAAAAAAAAAACCCACACTATGACTAAAAACCCAAGAGGAAGGATCCTTAACAGTTAGTATTCAGTTAGTATTAAAAACTTAAAACTTTCCGTTTAAATCAAAGAATTGAAGAATTAGTCAGTCTATGTTAGTTTTTCCTTCAGTTTCTCTTGTGTGCATCGAGTCTCTTTTCATCACCTTCAGCATTTGCAAATCTTTAATATGTAAAGAGTTACTTTGGTCCTCTGTGTCGCAAATCATACGTCTCTCTGGCCGTGCCGCCTCCCGCTTAGCTTCCGAGATCTGATGAGATGGGGCTTGCCTGGGCTGTCCAGGTCAGGTAGGATTTTGGGCTACCTTGAAGGCGCAGGAAGCAAGGCTCCCTCTAAGCTGTGGAGTCTCTTGTGAGCAAAAAAATCGACTTCGGCCCCGGTCACACGGGCCAGGTAACGCGGGGGGGGGGGGGGGGGCGGGGCGTTGAGCAAAATAAAGTGTGGTAGCCCAATCACACGGTCCCCCGAGTCTCCGTGCTTTGGCTGTTAGCTGGCGATCACGCGGCGATGCTGCAGCGTGGCAAAGAAGCTGCACGGCGCAATCACACAAGCGTTTCACGTTTGTGTACATGTGCAGTTCCACGGAGCAGCACTGCTCTCAGTTTTGCGTTTGTGCACATGCGCTTACGAAAAACATCCGGTTTGCGACGGGACGTGGACGGGCGCCGGATGCCACGGGATACTAGTGATCAGACGCCCATCTGTGCCGTGCATTTTCCGGATACTAGTGCACTTTCTGTGGTACTTTTTAACTCCCCATCTTTGTCGGGATGCCACGGGTTGGCCATGGGTGCGCTATGGTTCCCAGATGTTGCAGTGTGATCACACCCCGAAAATCCACCTGACATTCGTGACTTTTGCGCGGCAAATTCTCCATGTGACCGGGGCTTGAGTGAGCGATTTGGCTACTGCATATATTTGTTTGCTCTGGAGCTGTCCTTCCTGAGCTAAGACAAAAATGTGTGAGTCGGAGGCTAAAAAACTGCGAGCTAGCTCACACTCACTCAGCTTAGAGGGAACGCTGGCAGCAAGAGCCATTCCAGATCCCCTGCATTTAATCTCTTCGCTCTACACAGGCCAGGGTTAAGCCCCAGCACAGTGCCAGTACCAGACACAACCAACCAGTGTTCCCTCTAAGCTGAGTGAGTGTGAGCGAGCTCGCAGTTTTTTAGCCTCCGACTCACACATTTTTGTCTTAGCTCAGGAAGGGATGGCTCCAGACCAAACTGATTGATGCAGTAGCCAAATGGCTCGCTCACAGCTTTAATGCCCGTAGCTCACAAAGTAGAATTTTTGCTCACGAGACTCCACAGCATAGAGGGAGCACTGGTCTGACCCTTTCACCGAACCCGCCGTCTCCGTTCTGTGTCTTGCAGCTTACGGTACCTGGAGAAGGAGGTGTACTCCAACGCCCCCACCGCCCACTATCACCTGCAGTTCAACACCAGCAGCCGATGAGGGAGGAAAGCTCCAAGAAGCCCACGGTGATGCCAAAGCATGCCGTGTCTTTTTTGTGCGGGCAGAGATGGCTTTCTAGCGGTGGCCATCGTGGGAAGACGCAAGGACCCAGCCGGAACGGCCCACCAAGAACGATATCATGGGGAGGGGGGGAGTTTCATTTGACTCCAGGTGGGGCTTTTCAGCTGGTAGTTTTGGGAGGCCTTTTCCCGCCGTGGAAAAGTCCGTCCCTCTGGAAAGATGCTTTGTACAACATGATCACCTACTGCCCTAAGCTTCTACACAGTGTCCACCTATGATTTGAGGGTGGTGGGCGGAGTCTCTTCCTGGCAGGCCCCCCTGGGGAAAGCTCCTCCCACCTCTCCCTGCGGGTGCCGATCACCTGGGCCACGACCATACTTGTTCAGGACGGACAAAAGGAAATACTGCTTAACACCGAGGGTGATGAAAAGGTGGAATTCACTGTCAGGGGGTGTAGTGACGGCCACGGGAATGAACAGCCTCAAAAGGGGATTAGATAGATTCATGGAGGATAAGTCTAGCAATGGCCACTAGCCGTGGTGGCTGAGGGGAACCTCCACATTCAGAGGGACTAACCCTCTGAATCCCAGAACCAGGAAGCAACATCAGGGGAAGGCCGAGGCCTCTATGCCTTGTTGTTGGTTGTCCAAAGAAACTGGTTGGTCCCTGTGTGAGACAGGATACTCGACTAGATGGACCCTCACTGGTCTGACCCAGCAGGGCTCTCCTGATGTCCTTATCAGCGGAAGGCCTCGGCCTCTCTGCCCTGTTGCTGGCCCTCCAGAGGAACTGGCTGGCCCCTGTGTGAGACGGGGTGCTGGACTAGAGGGACCCTCACTGGTCTGATCCAGCAGGGCTCTTCTTAAGTCCTTATCAGGGGAAGGCCTCGGCCTCTCTGCTCTGCTGTTGGCCTTCCTGATAAGAGGAGGAGGAGGAGATTGGATTTATACCCTGCCCTTCACTACCCAAGGGAGTCTCAGAGCGGCTTACAAACCCCTCTCCCTTCCCCTCCCCACAACAGGCACCCTGTGAGGTAGTTGGGGCTGAGAGAGCTCTTTCCAGAACTGTCGAGAGAACAGCTCTGACAGAGCTACGGCTTGCCCAAGGTCATCCAGTAGTGGGGAATCAAACCCAGTTCTCCCAGATTAGAGTCCACGCACTTAACCACTACACCAAACTGGCATAGAGGCCAAGGCCTCCCCCTGATAAGAATATAAGAAAATCCCTGCTGGATGAGACCAGTAGTTGGCTGCTGTGTGAGACAGGATGCTGGACTAGATGGACCGCTGGTTTGATCCAGCAGGGCTCATTTCATGTTCTCCTCAGGGGAAGGCCTCGGCCTCTCTGCCCTGTTGCTGGCCCTCCAGAGGAACTGGCTGGCCCCTGTGTGAGATGGGAGGCTGGACTAGAGGGACCCTCCCTGGTCTGATCCAGCAGGGCTCTTCTGGTGTTCTTATCAAGGGAAGGCCTCGGCCTCTCTGCCCTGTTGCTGGCCCTCCAAAGGAACCGGTTGGCCCCTGTGTGAGACGGGAGGCTGGACTAGAGGGACCCTCCCTGGTCTGACCCAGCAGGGCTCTTCTGATGTTCTTATCAGGGGAAGGCCTCGGCCTCTCTGCCCTGTTGCTGGCCCTCCAGAGGAACTGGCTGGCCCCTGCGTGAGACGGGAGGCTGGACTAGAGGGACCCTCCCTGGTCTGACCCAGCAGGGCTCTTCTGGTGCTCTTATCAGGGGAAGGCCTTGGCCTCTCTGCCCTGTTGCTGGCCCTCCAGAGGAACTGGCTGGCCCCTGTGTGAGACAGGATGCTGGACTAGAGGGACCCTCCCTGGTCTGACCCAGCAGGGCTCTTCTGGTGTTCTTATCAAGGGAAGGCCTTGGCCTCTCTGCCCTGTTGCTGGCCCTCCAGAGGAACTGGCTGGTCACTGTGTGAGATGGACCACTGGTCTGATCCAGCAGGGCTCTTCTGATGCCCTTGCCTTCCTAGCGACACTGGAGAAGCACGTGCTTGCCAAGATCTGGACTAGTGGGTCGCATTGCCAGAGGAAAACCAAAGAACGACTTGTGGTGATGCTTCGGAATCGAAACGTCCTACGTCCTGTTCTGCTCCGAAACCCTATTTGTTCCCCGCTGCCCTGGCCTCACCGTAAATCTTTCCCGTCACAATTTTTTTTAAAAAAAAACAATCATAAGGAAGGAAAAAGTAAACGAAGGAACTTAATTTGCCTTTATTCTGATATAGCATGAGCTTCATCTACACAGGAACCCGGGTCTCTCGAGGGGGTGCAGTATGAGCCGAGTCCACCGTACAAGGATGCAAAAGAGGCACTGCTGCTACACTGCAAGATCTTGGAAGACTGGAGGAAGGCTAAGTGGGACGGTAGAGAAGCGAGGAGGGCAGGACTTCCTCTAGTTCTCCGCACCCTCCAGAGTCGACTCCCCCTACAGGAGGAAGGGGCTCACTGCGACAATCATTAATTTGTTAGAAGTTCCATCCGTTGATCATTTGCTTGGCCGGCTCCCATTCCAGCAAGACGGAAGCGCCGAGAACCGTCGGCGGGTTCAAAGTCCCGCTGTTGAGGTCCCCCCGGGGGAAGAGGGCACACCCCGCCTCCTGGGGAACCAGAGGGTAAGGGCGGGCCCCTTCCTGTTCTTCCCGGCCGGGGCCGCGAGCTCAGGGCTGCATCCGGATCGCGCCGTCCAGCCGGATCACTTCGCCGTTGAGCATCGGATTCTCCACGATGCACTGCACCAGATGAGCATACTCCTCCGGGGCCCCCAGGCGGCTCGGGAAGGGCACCTGGCGGGCCAGGAACGTCCGCACCTTTTCGGGAAGCGACGACAGCAGGGGGGTTGCAAACAGGCCTGGGGGGAGGAGAAACAAAGAGACTCACAGCTGTCCTTCCCCTGCACACTTCGCCAGTCCTCATGAGCCAGGGTTGCGTGCACACATGAAGCTGCCTGATACTGATTCAGACCACCAGTCTGTCAAAGCAACTCTCCAGGGTCTCAGGCGGAGGTCTTTCCCATCACCTCCTGCCTGGTCCTTCTAACTGGAGATGCCGGGGATTGAACCCGGGACCGTCTGCATGCCAAGCAGAGGCTCTGCCACTGAGCCAGGGTCTCAGGTCAAGGTCTTTCCCATCGCCTCCTGCCTGGTCCTTTTAACTGGAGAGGCCGGGGATTGAACCCGGGACCGTCTGCATGCCAAGCAGAGGCTTTGCCACTGAGCCAGGGTCTCAGGTCAAGGTCTTTCCCATCGCCTCCTGCCTGGTCCTTTTAACTGGAGATGCCAGGGATTGAACCTGGGACCTTCTGCATGCCAAGCAGAGGCTCTGCCACTGAGCCAGGGTCTCAGGTTAAGGTATTTCCCATCACCCACTGCCTGGTCCTCTTAAGCTGGAGATGCCAGGCATTGAGCCTGGGAACTTCTGCATGCCAAGCAGACGCTCTGCCACTGAGCCACAGCCCTTTCCCTCCACAGGAGCAAAACAAATGCAGAATTCAGTTTTCTTTATTTTTTAAAAGGCAAGTTTCTAGAACCTGAAAGGCTTCAACGGGTGTGGGCCATACCTGCTGAAATCTGAGACACCCAAGGGTGTCCAAGTAAGATTTCTAGGGGCGGTTGGTGGGGTTTCAGTGGCCACGGACCGTCCTCTACCTCCTACCCCATGACTGCAGACCAGCAAAAAATGCCGAATGAGCCGTATAAAATAAGCACTTTAATAAGCGTTCCCCTTAATTTGCACAGATCACAGAAGCTGCATTGCTTTAGAGATCTGGTATAGAATTTTCAGTCTCATAAAAACGGGAGACACACAACCAGTGCTCCCTCTAAGCTGAGTTAGTGTGAGCTAGCTCACAGTTTTTTAGCCTCCAGCCAATTTTTTGTCTTAGCTCAGGAAGGAGGGCTCCAGAGCCAACTGATGGATGCAGCAGCCCAATCGCTCACTCACAGCTTTAATGCCAGTAGCTCACAAAGTAGAATTTCTGCTCACAAGACTCCACATCTTAGAGGGAACATTGCACACAACCAGTGCTCCCTCTAAGCTGTGGAGTCTTGTGAGCAAAGATTCTACTTTGTGAGCTGCTGGCATTAAAGCTGTGAGCGAGCGATTGGGCTCCTGCATAAACGAGTTTGCTCTGCAGCCCTCCTTCCTGAGCTAAGACGAAAATGTGTGAGCCGGAGGCTAAACAACTGTGAGCTAGCTCACACTAACTTAGCTTAGAGGGAACACGGCTGGCATCCCTTACAGTCAACCTCCAGCTATTCGAGCCCTATGTGCTCCCTCACAGAGTCCTACTTTATTTTATTTACTTCACTTAGACCCTGGCTTTCTCCCTGGCGGGGACCCAAAACACCTGACACCATTCTCCTCTCCTCCACGTTATCCTCACAATGACCCGGTGAGGTAGGCGAGGCTGAGAGCGTGTGACTGGCCCAAGGTCACCCAGCGAGCTTCCATGGCGGCGGGGGGGGGGAGGATTCGAACCTGGGTCTCCCAGATCCCAGTCTGACACCCTAACCGCTACACCGCACCGGCTCTGTCCTTCCTCTCCCAGTGCCAAGCAGTGTTCCCTCTAAGCTGAGTTAGTGTGAGCTAGCTCACAGTTTGTTAGCCTCCGGCTCACACATTTTTGTCTTGGCTCAGGAAGGACGGCTCCAGAGCAAACTAAATTATGCAGTGGCCAAATCGCTCGCTCACAAATTTAATGCCGGTAGCTCAAAAAAGTAGAATTTTTGCTCACGATACTCCACAGCTTAGAGGAAGCGTCGGTGCCAAGACTCACCTGGTGCAATGGTGACGACTCGGATCCCCATAGGGGCCAAATCCCGTGCGATGGGCAGGGTCATTCCCACAATGCCTCCCTTGGAAGCCGAGTAAGCCGCCTGGCCGACCTGCGGGAGGAAGAAGGAACAGTTGGGCCCCTCCAAGACCAAGACATCGGCATTCCCTGCAGCCGCAAGGCAGAAGCGTGAACAGATTGGCGACCACGTGCAGGCCAAGTTACGAATGCTCCAAATTAAGACTGAACACCAGGGGTCCCCAACATGGTGCCCGGGGGTGCCCACCAACCCCTTTCCTGGCACCTCCCTAGTGTTTTTAAAAAGTGGGTGGGGCCCGGTGAGGTTTCAGGCGATCTGACTGGCTGCGTAGATAATAATGATACCGTTTGGGCAGAACAGTTTTGAGTCCAGCGGCACCTTTAAGGCCAGCAAAGTTTCATTCAAGGTAAACGTTTTCATGTGCACGCACACTTCTTCAGAGACAGTGCGCGTGCACACGAAAGCTTATACCTTGAATGAAACTTTGTTGGTCTTAAAGGACTCTAAATGTGTTCTACTGCTTCAGACCAACACGGCGACCGACCTCTGTTGTTTTGGGTGCCACCGCAGCGTTGGTTGTATTCTCTCACTTGCGCCTTTCCCACAGCACATTTTTTTAAAAAATTATTCTTTTTGTCTTCCGCACTTGGGCTTCCTCTGGATGTGCAGCTTCGCCTCCTGTGGTGACCATTTCATAGAACGGAATCATAGAATCCCAAAGTTGGAGGTGTACCTAGAGGCCATCTAGTCCAACCCCCTGCTCAGTGCAGGACCAGCCTAGAGCATCCCTGACCAGTGTTTGTCCAGCTGTTGCTTGAAGACTGCCGGGGAGGGGGAGCTCACCACCTCCCCAGGCAGCAGATTCTGCTCTTGCATGACTGACTGTCAAAAAGGTTTTTCCTAAGACCCAGCCGGTACTTTCCTGCCGTTAATTTAAACCCATTCTTGCGAGTCCTCTCCTCTGCTGCCGACAGGAACAGCTCCCTGCCCTCCTCGAAGGGACAGCCCTTCAAATACTTCAAGAGAGCGACCATGTCCCCCTTCAGCCTCCTCTTCTCCAGACTAAACATTCCCAAGTCCCTCAGCCTTTCCTCACAGGGCTTGGTCTCCAGGCCCCCGATCATCCTCATTGCTCTCCTCTGCACCCACTCCATTCTGTCCACATCCTTTCCGAAGTGAGGCCTCCAGAACTGCACACAAGACTCCAGGTGTTCGGTTCCACCTCATGCAGTGGCCATTTTGTTTTGGGCTTTGCCTCATGTGGTGGCCAGTGTTCCCTCTAAGTTGAGTTAGTGTGAGCTAGCTCACAGTTTTTTAGCCTCCAGCTCACACATTTTTGTCTCAGCTCAGAAAGGATGGCTCCAGAGCAAGATAATTTATACAGCAGTCAAATTGTTCGCTCACAACTTTAATGCCGGTTGCTCACAAAGCAGAATTTTTGCTCACAAGACTCCACAGCTTAGAGGGAACATTGGGGTGGCCATTTTGTTTTTGGCTCTGGCCCCTTCGGTGGCCATTTTGTTTTTGGCTTTGCCTCCCACGGTGGCCATTTTGTGGCTGAGCCCACCATGCTGTGTCAGAACTCCAAAGGTACCCACGGGCTCAAAAGGGCTGGGGACTCCTCCTCAACACATGTGGAGACTGAGGCAGGCAGAGAGGGATTGGCAGTCCCTCTGAGCCCGGCACGTGGAAGATTCATGGAGGAGGAGGAGGAGGAGATTGGATTTATACCCCGCCCTTTACTACCCAAAGGTGTCTCAGAGCGGCTTACAAACTCCTTTCCCTTCCCCTCCCCACAACAGACACCCTGTGAGGTAAAAGAAGAAGAAGAAGAGATTGGATTTATACCCCGCCCTTTACTACCCAAAGGTGTCTCAGAGCGGCTTACAAACTCCTCTCCCTTCCCCTCCCCACAACAGACACCCTGTGAGGTGGGTGGGGCTGAGAGAACTCTGACACAAACTGCTCTTTTTCAAGGACAGCTGTGCCAGAGCTTGTGACTGACCCAAGGTCACATCAGCAGGTGCAAGTGGAGGAGTGGGGACTCAAACCCGGTTCTCCCAGATTAGAGTCTGCACACTTAACCACTACACCAAACTGTGTTGGGATTAGTGAATATCTGGAGGCCCCTCACAGATCAGCCAACGTTTTTTGGCGAGAGTGCCGGTAAGTCCGAAGCACGAGCTGTGTCGGCCCAGTCAAGACCATTGGGAGCATCCACCGCATCTCCACAGTGGCCCGGGATGGCCTTGCCTCTAGTGCAGAAAAAAAAACAAAAAACCACAGCTTATATTTATGTTGCCAACCTCCAGCTGGCACCTGGAGATTTCCTATTACAACTGCTCTCTGGACGACCAGGATCCGTTCCCCTGGAGAAAATGACTGCTTTAAAGGTGAACTCTATGGCATTATACCCTGCTGAGCACCATCTTGGGGAGGGGCTGTGGCTCAGAGGTAGAGCCTCTGCTTGGCATGCAGAAGGCCCCAGGTTCAATCCCCGGCATCTCCAGTTAAAAGGATCAGGTAAGAAGAAGAAGAAGAAGAGATGGTTTTATACCCTGCTCTTCACTACCCGAAGGAGCCTCAAAGCAGCTTACAATCTCCTTTCCCTTCCTCTCCCCACAACAGACACCCTTGGAGGCAGGTGGGGCTGAGAGAGCTCTGAGAGAACTGGGACTGGCCCACGGCCACCCAGCTGGCTGCATGTGGAGGAGGAGTGGGGAATCAAACCCGGCTCTCCAGACTAGAGTCTGCCGCTCTTAACCACGACACCGAGCCGACTGGAGGCGACGCGAAAGACCTCAGCCCGAGACCTTGGGGAGCAGCTGCCAGTCTGGGTAGGCAATACCAACTGTGATGGATCGGTCTCCCGATTCAGTATAGGGCAGCTTCGTAGGTTCACCTCCTGTCCCCTAACCCCACCTCCCCAGGCTCCGCCCCCAAAATCGCCAAGTATTTCTCAGCCCAGAGATTGCGGCCTTACTTATGGTAGCCTCGGCGCTATTTCCAGGCCTACAAATCTCTCTGTCTCCTGGCTGCGGATTGCCACAGGTACCCAGCCACCTCCGTGCTGGGAGGCTGGCCGCTCGGGGATTAGTCTGACACAGGTGGCCCGGGCTGCTCCCGACCCCCCCACCCCACCTTCCCGTGCCAAATCTCTTCTAAGCCTAGAGCCAGCCCCGCAGCCAGAAATAGCTCTCCAAGGAGCCTTCCTTTCCTTGCGGTGAGGTACACACAATCCAAGCCACAGATCTGAGCGACTGGCATTCAAGTTGTGAGCCGGCGATCTGGCTCCTGCATCAGTTAGTTTGCTCTGGAGCCATCCCTTCCTGAGCCAAGACAAAAACGTGTGAGCCGAAGGCTAAAAAACTGAGCTAGCTCACACAAACTCAGCTTAGAGAGAAATCTGGTTGTGGGAGCGGCCAGGACGACATCCGGAGCAACTCCTGGCCGCGTCGGGAGCCACGGACCGCCAAACGGGCCGTCGTCCTTTCCCCCATTCCTCTCCCAATCCACTCCCTTTTCATTTTGACTCCATGATCTGTAGCTCCACCAAACGGCGGTGCAAACTAACACGGGGAAGCATAACGACAAAAATGTCCAAGGTATGATCTATCTAGATCCAATCCCGAGGAATTGAGTCTCTCATAGAATCGTAGAGTTGGCTACAGTGCTCCCTCTAAGCTGTGGAGTCTTGTGAGCAACAATTCTACTCTGTGAGCGACTGGCCTTAAAGTGGTGAGCGAGGGATTTGGCTGCTGCATAAATTATTTTCCTCTGGAGCCCTCCTTCCTGATACAAAAATGTGTGAGCTGGAGGCTAAAAAACCGTGAGCTAGCTCACACTAACTCAGCTTAGAGGGAACACTGGTTGGAAGGGGCCTCCAGGGTCATCTAGTCCAACCACCTGCACAGTGCAGGAAATTCACAAATACCTTCCCACACACACACACACACACACACACACAGAGTGACCGCTGTTCCATACCCAGAAGAGGGCAAAAACCTCACCAGGATCCCAGGGCAACCCAGCCTTGAGAAAAAATGCTTCCTGACTCCCAAAGTGGCGATTAGCCTTTCCCTAGGCATGTAAAGAAAAGGCCACGAGAACTTAAGCCCTGAGGCAACCCTTCCTGCCCTCCCTCTCGTGATCTGCCGCAGTTCACAGAATCCGCACTGCTGTCCGATGGCCGTCTAGCCTCTGCTGACAGAACTAAGACTTACGTTTTTATTAAACGATGAGGATCCGAGGATTTCTTTAGCCCTGGAAATTCTCTCACGTGGTGATTACACGGGAGGGGTTCAGAACATTTATAGGATGAATCCCAAGTTTAGAAATAAAGTAGATAATGCTTGCATTCTGAAAACTAGACTGCTGAGAGACCAACTCAAATCAAAGAATTGTTTTAGACCGGGGGGGCGGAGAAATAAAGCAGAATTTAAAATATAGACGTACAATACTATTCCTACTTTTAATAGTGAAGAATGAAAAAATAAAAATAATTTAATGTGGCTTGACGAGACCTTTGGTCAAATGAGTCAACTATTAAAGGGAACAAAAATCACAGTTCTCTCAGTCACATTTCTCTCAGAGGTGTTCTCGCAAGAGCAGCCTGTGAAAGGGCTCTCTCGGCCCCACCTCCCTCACAGGGTGTCTGTTGTGGGGAGGGAAACGGAAAGGAGATTGTAGACCGCTCTGGGACTCCTTTGGGTAGTGAAAGGTAGGGTATAAGTCCTCTTCTTCTCTTTCCAGTCGGTACAGAATGCTGAGAGCCAGTTGAGAGCCAGCTGAGAGCGCGGACTCTAATCTGGGAGAACCGGGTTTGATTCCCTACTCCTCCACATGCAGCTGCTGGTGTGACCTTGGGTCAGCCACAAGTTCTCTCAGAGTTGTTTGCTCACGAGCAGTCCTCGAAGGAGCTCTCTCGGCCCCACCTCCCTCACAGGGTGTCTGTTGTGGGGAGGGGAAGGGAAAGGAGTTTGTAGGCCGCTCTGAGACTCCTTCAGGTAGTGAAGAGTAGGGTATAAGTCCAATCTCTTATCTTCTTCTTCTCTTTCCAATTGGTACAGAATGCTGAGAGCCAGTTGAGAGCCAGCTGAGAGCGCGGACTCTAATCTGGGAGAACCGGGTTTGATTCCCTACTCCTCCACATGCAGCTGCTGGTGTGACCTTGGGTCAGCCACAAGTTCTCTCAGAGTTGTTTGCTCACGAGCAGTCCTCGAAGGAGCTCTCTCGGCCCCACCTCCCTCACAGGGTGTCTGTTGTGGGGAGGGGAAGGGAAAGGAGATTGTAGGCCGCTCTGAGACACCTTTGGGTAGTGAAGGGCGGGATATAAATCCAACCTCTTCTCTTCTACAGTGGCAACTCTGTCTTTAAGCGCTGTATGGGGGCTGTGATCGGCTTCGCTCGACTTCCTTTGCAACACCCAGCACCCGCTTCCTTCCTGCCTCACCTGGACCACAGTGCCCCCTGCTGTCCTACAAGGATACTGCCAAGTCCCGAAAGTCAAAGATACATTTCCCATTTAAGGTGGCGCTCGACTGTGGCTCACTGGCAGCAAAATCGCGGAGACTCACCTGACCTTCGAAGGCCGCCACGCTGGCCGTGTTGACGATCACCCCTCTGTGCCCATCTGCGTCCGGCTCATTCCGCCCCATAAGACCCGCTGCCAGACGGATGACGTTGAATGTTCCAGCGATGTTGACCTGAGGGGCATGGAGAGATATAACCGGTGGCCCCGACGTTCCTGTCCCCACCCTCCTTAGGTCCCCCAGAGAGCCAGAACACACCCTGAAGAGAAAATGAAGGGGGGGAAACCCAGCCCTGAAAGGGATGAGGCAGACCCAGAATTTGAGAAGAACCAAACCAAAAATGGACAAAATCCTAAGGTTAAAAGCCAGTTTGGTGTAGCAGTGTAGTTTGGTGCCCCACTCCGCCACATGCAGCTGCTGGTGTGACCGTGGGTCAGTCACAAGTTCTCTCAGAGCTGTTCTCTCACGAGCAGTCCTCGAAAGAGCTCTCTGAGCCCCACCTACCTCACAGTTGTGGGGAGGAGTGTGGTTAAGTGTGCGGACTCTAATCTGGGAGAACCGGGTTTGATTCCCCACTCCTCCACTTGCACCTGCTGATGTGACCTTGGGTCAGTCACAAGCTCTGCCACAGCTGTTCCTGAAAGAGCCGTTCTCTCAGAGCTCTCTCAGCCCCACCCACCTCACAGGGTGTCTGTGGTGGGGAGGGGAAGGGAAAGGAGATTGTAAGCTACTCTGAGACTCCTTCAGGTAGCGAAGGGTGGAGTATAAATCCAATCTCCCCCTCCTCTTCTTCTTCTATTATTCATTTTAATATTGAATATTATTCGTGTATTACTTTATTTCTATCCTACCCTATTCCCCAATGGGGGCCCAGAGCGATCTACATCCCTGCTCCATTTTATCCTCACAACAGCCCTGCAAGGTCAGCCACAGAAGCTCACTGGGCGACCTGGGGCCAGTCACCCTCTCTCAGCCAAACCTAACTTAAAGGGTTGTTGTGAGGATAAAATGGAACGGAGGAGGAGAAGGAGGAGAAGAAGAGGAGGAGATTGGATTTATACCCTGCCCTTCACTACCTGAAAGAGTCTCAGAGTGGCTTACGATCTCCTTTCCCTTCCCCCTCCCCACAACAGACACCCTGTGAGGGAGGTGGGGCTGAAAGAGCTCTTCGGAGGACTGCTCTTGAAAGAACAGCTCTGAGAGAACTTGTGACTGACCCAAGGTCACCCAGCAGCTGCATGTGGAGGAGTGGGGACTCAAACCCGGTTCTCCCAGATTAGAGTCCGCACTCTTAATCACTGCACCAAGGATATCAGGACTTAAGCCACTTTGAGTCTCCACTGGGGAACAAGGTGGAGTATGAACCAAGTAAATAAATAAGTAGGCCCACGTCCGAGGAGGCCGCTGACTTTTCCGTCAAAAGAATTTGGTGACACGTCTTAAGCTTTCCGCCAGCTGCGCTCAGGCCAGGAGGATCAAGAACGTTGCTGGGACTACAGCAGAAGACGGCAAACCAAGAAGAGAACGGACCGAGCGGCTCTTCTGAGACCCGACTCACATTGATGACCCTCTGGAAGTCCTCCAGGTTGTGGGGGGTGTCCTTCTTCATGTTGTAGGTCTTGAACGCCACGGCCACGCCGGCGCAGTTCACAGTCACGTCCAGGCGCCCAAATTTCTCCTGGGTCAGAGCCAAAGCGGCCTTGACGTCCGACTCCGACGTTACCTGCGGAAGGCAGAGGAGATCGGGCGGCTCAGCCCCTTTGCCTCACTCCCAGGGAGGGAGGACCCCCCGCATGACCCCGTCTCCCGCCACAGCGCCCTACATCCGCCGGAGCAAAGACGCATCGCTCCCCCAGGGACGTGGCCACCGTCTCCCCCTCGGATTTCGGCAGGTCCAGCAGCACGGCACTGCCCCCCTGTTGCACCAGCCGCTCCGCCGTGGCACGGCCCAGCCCGGAAGCGCCGCCAGTCACCAGGCCGACCATTCCCTGCGGGTAAAACAGAGAACGAGAGAGTTTACCTGTCACGATCGAGATGGGAAGTCATTTTAGTCTGTCTGTAGCAGTAGAAAAGAGTAAGAGTCCCGGTAGCCCCTTAAAGACTAACTAGATTGTGGCAGGGGAGGAGCTTTCGGGAGTCACGGCTCACTTCTTCAGGCACCAAAGAGCAAGAGTCCAGTTAGCACCTGAAAGACTAACAAAATTCGTGGCAGGGGAGGAGCTTTCCTGAGTCACGGCTCACTCCTTCAGATGACCAGTGACTATTGGAAACAGCAGAAATGGATAATTTAACTTTGCAATTAACTTTGGATGGGCCTTTGGCCTAATCCAACATTGGCGCCTCTTATGTTCTTATGTTCTAATGTTGGATCAGGCCAAAGGCCCATCCAGCCCAACACTCTCTTTCACACAGTGGCCAGAAATACCAGGTGCCATCAGGAGGCCCAGCAGTGGGGCCAGGACATTAGAAGCCCTCCCACTGTTGACCCCCCCAAGCACCAAGAAGACAGAGCATCCCTTGCCCCAGAGCCCCTCTCTACACCTTGTGGCTAATAGCCACTGATGGACCTCTGCTCCATATGCTTATCTAATTCTCTCTTGAAGCCATCCGTGCTTGTAGCTGCCACCACCTCCTGTGGCAGTGAATTCCATAGGTTAATCACTCTTTGGGTGAAGAAGGGCTTCCTTTTATCCGTTCTAACCCGACTGCTCAGCCATGCACTGTTTTGCAACTCGGAAGGAGGCGTTGCAAAGACTGCAGTGCTTCATGGGAAGAGACCAAAGTCTGCTTTCACTGCATCTATTCAACATGCCTTATACAGAAATGGGCAAATCTCCCTTAATCCAGAATTCTGTCACACTTACAGCCTTATTCCTTACTTATTCTTTGTAACACTCCTCTGACCAAGATGGAGTAAGAGGAAGGAGGAGGAGATTGGATTTATACCCCACCCTTCACTACCTGAAGGAGTCTCAGAGCAGCTTACAATTTCCTTTCCCTTCTCCCCCCCCCCCACAAAAGACACCCTGAGAGGTAGGCGGGGCTGAGAGAGCTCTCTCGAGGACTGTCTTTGAGAGAACAGCTCTGAAAGAACTTGTGACTGACCCAAGGTCACACCAGCAGCTGCATGCAGAGGAGTGGGGAATCAAACCCGGTCCTCCTAGCTTAGAATCTGCACTCCTAACCACTACACCAAAACTGGCTGTAAGGGCTGATGGATCTTAGGGTTGCCAGCTCCCAGTTGGGAAATATTGGGGGGGGGGGGCGGAGGTTGAAGAGGGCGGGGTTTGGGGAGGGGAGAGACTTCAGTGGGCCCAATGCCACAGAGGCCTCCTTCCAAAGCGGCCATTTTCGCCAGGGGAACAGATCTTGGTCGTCTGGAGATCAGTTGTAATTGTGAGAGACCTCCAGTCACCGCCTGGAGGCTGGCAACTCTAATGGGTCTCCGTTCTGACTTGTATCTGACAAAGGGAGCGTTGGCTCTCAAAAGCACACCCCCTGGAAACGGTGTTGGTGTTAGCAAGCCTTTTGAGGAGACCTAGGGAGGCCAGCCTCCGGGTGGGGCCTGGGGACCCCCCGGGATTCCGGCTCATCTCCAGACTGCAGAGATCAGCTCCCCTGGAGAAGATGGCTGCTTTGGAGGGGGGACTCTGTGGCATTATAATGCCCCACTGAGGTCCAGGATGCCAGCCTCCAGGTGGGGCCTGGGGATCCCCTGGAATTCCAGTTCACCTTCGGACTACAGAGATCAGTTCCCCTGGAGAAAATGGCTGCTTTGGAGGGGGATTACACCTCTTCTGAGATCTCTCACCTCTCCAAACACCATCCTTCCCAACCTGGGAAGGAGACCTCCTGGAGACCTTCCAGGTCCCCCTCCACACATCCAGTCTTTGCAGTTTGGTGTCGTGGTCAAGTGCGCAGACTCTAATCTGGGAGAACCGGGTTTGATTCCCCACGCCTCCACTCGCAGCTGCTGGATGACCTTGGGTCAGTCACAAGTTCTGTCAGAGCTGTTCCTGAGAAAGAGCAGTTTCTGTCAGAGCTCTCTCAGCCCCGCCTACCTCGCAGGGTGTCTGTTGTGGGAAGGGAAAGGAGTTTGCAAGCCGCTCGGAGACTCCCGAGTGAAGGGCGGGGTGTAAATCCAATCTCCTTCTTCCAACGCAATTGAGCCTGCCGTCCTTTGGTCGTCGCTGTTTTTCCTGGCAGCCTTCACACATCTAACACCACTCTACCACAGGGAGAATCCCAACCAGGGAATCTAACGCACAGCAATGAACCAGGATCAGTTTAATGCCGCCGCTGCTGTTCGAAGCAAGCTGGCTGTGCGGAGCAGGCAGAAATCCAACACGTGCGGCTTTCCCAACAACCGCTGGGGAGGAGATTCGCCTGTTTGATTCCTGCCTGCCCTGCAACTGCTGGAAACCCCACAGCCTCGCTCGGCCCCCAAAGAGGGGAGGAAGAGGAGGAGGCCTACCTAGAAACCACGCCGTTCATTCGCCTACTTTCCCCCAGTACCTAAAATGATCTCTCGTTACTCCCCCTATCAAGGGCATTGGACTCTCCCAGGGTCTCCCCCCCCCATCCCAGCCACTTCGGTGGTTTCTCCCAGGCCGATCTCTTCGCGGCGTCCCTGGCGTGTCCCCTCCGGGGTCCCGTAGAGAGGTCCCTCGCTCGTCCCGCCGGCCGATTACCTTCACGCTCCTCAATGCCGCCGACATGTTGCTCCCCGCCAGGCCAACTCTCCGAGCCCCGCCTCTTCCGCGGGAGTAAGGGCGGAAGTGAAGCCAGGGCAGATATTAGTTCCTGGCCTGGCAGATCCTGCACGTGTTTTCTAGGAAGGTCGTGTGGTTGTGTTGGAGGAGGCTCGACGGGGGTCTGGGGTTTCCGGAGGGAGGTCACAGCACTGGCCCCTGCTTTTCATGGCCTTTCCGTTCTCTCCGACCCCCTCTTTTTAAACCCCCCATGTCTGTTCAAGTACTGTAGTCAATGAGACGTTTTGCCATAACAGTCTCGCGCAGTCTTGGCAAGTGGCCCACGATGCCTTTTGGGCTTTGGTTAGGGGTTGCCAACCTCCAGGCCTCCCGCAATTGCAACTGCTCTCCAGGTGATACAGATCAGCACCCCTAGAGTAAATAATGGCAACCCCACCAGGGAAAAAAAATATTGCCGCACAAGCCACAAAATTAGGGTTGCCAGCCTCCAGGTGGGGCCTGGGGATCTCCCGCTTTTACAACCGATCTCCAGCTGACATCAGCTGCCCTGGAGAAAATGGCTGCTTTGAAGGGTGGAGCCTGAGCGGTGGGTGTTGCCTTCTGACACACTTCCGGTGATGCCCAGGGGTGTGGCATATGCAAATGTTATGCTAATGAGCTCCTGCAACTCTTTTTCTATGAAATGACCCCTGTATATGAAAAAGATCCTAGTTCCATCGCTAGCTGAGAGAGAACTGTGGAACTTCCAGAGAAGAAGCAGGATATGGCCCTCAGAGCAGCAATCTGGATGACGACAAGGAATGACACTTAACAGGACAGAAGGTGCTGACCTCACTGTGCCGTCTCACTGTCCTCTTGCTGCCCCCTGCAGGGTGGTCTTCTCCCTTCTTTGCACAGCGACATTGCCTGCTCCAACCAGTGTTCCCTCTAAGCTGAGTGTGAGCTAGCTCACCATTTTTTAGCCTCCGGCTCACGTGTTTTTGTTTTCTCTCAGGAAGGAGGGCTCAAGAGCAAACTAATTTGTGAAGGAGCCAAATATCTTGCTCACATCTTTAAGGCCAATAGGGACACACTCCCAGAAGCCAGGGCTGGTTGTGACTCCCCACCTTCGATGCCTCCCTCCCATGCAGAATGACCCTAAAGACGCTTGCTGGGTGACTGAGGCTAGTCGTACTCTAGTCCACCTCACAGGGTTGTCGTTGAAGATAAAATGGAATAGAGGAAACCAATATTGTAAGATGCTTTGGAGAAATAAAAGGGGGTATATGAAGACCTAAACAGAAAAAGAGATTGGATTTATACCCCGCCCTTTGCTACCCAAAGGGGTCTCAGAGCAGCTTACAATCCCCTTTCCCTTCCCCGCCCCACAACAGACACCCTGTGAGCAGTGTTCCCTCTAAGCTGAGTTAGTGTGAGCTAGCTCAGTTTTTTAGCCTCCGGCTCACACATTTTTGTCTTAGCTCAGGAAGGATGGCTCCGGAGCAAACTAATTGATGCAGCAGCTAAATGGCTTGCTCTCAACTCTTAATGCCAGCAGCTCACAAAGTAGAATTCTTGCTCACAAGACTCCACATCTTAGAGGGAGCATTGCCTGTGAGGTAGGCAGGGCTGAGAGAGCTCTTTTGAGGACTGCTCTTGAGGGAACAGCTCTGCGAGAACTGGGTGACTGACCCATGGCCACCCTGCTGGCTGCATGTGGCGGAGTGGGGAGCCAGACCCAGTTCTCCCAGATTAGAGTCCTCGCACCTAAACACGATACCAAAGTGCAAGCGTTGGGCAGTGTTTTGCAAACACTGTGGCATATTGCTTTGCTCTTAATAGCTGCATTGTCGTTTAAAAAAAAAAAGATTCAATCATTTACTGGCCTTGACTGGGGCCAGGATTCCTGCCCTTCTGCTATTTGACACTCACTATTGAGAATCTAATGCCTGGATTGCAAAGAATCTTGGTTCTTGGTCAGAACTTAGGGAACGCGCAGCCAGCAGATGCAGGTTGGGGACTTCTGACACGGGCTCTACTACGAAGTATCTGTCCAGTTTAACAACCTCACATCATAGCAGAGCATACATGCTTGCACGCTTTAATGTTCTGCCATCAGAGGTGCTTTTAGGGAGGTGCCGCCAGATACCATATGTAGGCTGTGGGCCCACGGGCGGGAAAATGCGGGGGGGGGGGGAGCATGGCTGTTTGCCCCTGGGCTAAAAAACGTGTGGTTGCGCAAGCAGACCTACCGTGGAGGTCCCGTGGTAGGGGGGAGGTGCCGATCACGCCACAGTCCTACAGCGCGGCAAAGATGCAGGGCGCGGGGCAAACAGGATTGGTTGTTTTTTTTTTAACTCAAATGTGCGCATGCTCCCTTGGGTGCTTGTGCACATCCGTGGAGACTTTGAAAAAAAAATTTTTTTTGCAAGGGGACATGGGCGGGCGCCAGAACTACCACCGGAAACGCGATCAGACGCCCACCCTTGCCCTGCGGTTTCAGGAAACTAGTACCTCCAAGGTACTAGTTTTTTACCGCGCATCTTCCGCGGGAAGCCTCGGGTTCGCCACGGGAGCTCGACGCTTCCCAGATGTGGCGGTGAGATCGCGCCCGGAAAATCCGCCTATCTTCCGTCCCTCTAGCGTGCCTAATGCTCCGTGTGACCGCAGCCGTAGACAAACTTTGTCCTTGCCCTCTAAAAGATATAGGATCCACTACACACACCATACTTCATTGCCCCCTCTATAGGGATATCTGATCTCGTTTTATTACTCCACTTTTAGAGGGTAAGAACTGGCACTCTGATGACTCAACTGTTCACTTTCTTCTGTTTCATTCTAATGTCAAAATGATGGAGGCTGTTGCAAAATTTTTATATTACGCAATCAGAAGACGAGGCTTGAATAGCCAAGTGTCAGTGACTGATGCATCTAAGTATTTTCCCGTATTTCCATGATGTTTTGTGCTTTCATGCCAACAAAGGTTTTGTGTGCGTGTGTGGTTCTTGGTCGGTTTTCAACCACACCGAGACCACGTCTGCACAGGGCAGCAGAGTTCAGGAGCTCGACCTTCCGGGCACAACACAAAAGAAAATGCACACTGTAGCTTCAGTGTCCCATCTGTTGCAATACAAGCCTATCATAATCCAGGCCTTCAGTCCATCAGAATCAGAGCTAGTGTTCCTCCTCAGGCTCTCAGAAGAAGAGATTGCATTTATACCCCACCCTTCACTACCCAAAGGAGTCTCAGAGCGGCTTACAAACTCCTTTCCCTTCCCCTCCCCACAACAGACACCCTGTGAGGTGGGTGGGGCTGAGAGAGCTCTCTCGAGGACTGTCCTTGAGAGAACAGCTCTGAGAGAACTGTGGCATGCCCAAGGTCATCCAGCAGCTGCAAGTGGAGGAGTGGGGAATCAAACCCGGTTCTCCCAGATTAGAGTCCGCGCACTTAACCACTACACCAAAAGGTCCCGGGTTCAACCTCTGGCATCTCCAGTTAAAAGGACCAGGCAGGAGGTGATGAGAAAGTCCTTGACCTGAGACCCTGGCTCAGCTGCAGAGCCTCTGCTTGGCATGCAGGAGGTCCCAGGTTCAATCCCTGGCATCTCCAGGAGGAGGAGGAGATTGGATTTATACCCTGCCCTTCACACGGAGTCTCAGAGCAGTTTACAAACTCCTTTCCCTTCCTCTCCCCACAACAGGGACCCTGTGAGGTAGGCGGGGCTGAGAAACTTCTCTCAAGAACTGCTCGTGAGAGAACTTGTGACTGACCCAGCAGCTGCATGTGGAGGACTGGGGGGGATCAAGCCCAGTTCTCCCAGATTAGAGTCCACCCAATTATATTTAGCCCAATTAGTTTTTTGGCCAACTGGCTGATGATGAAGACAATCCAATCAGGACACATTCTTGCTGGAACCCTCTGTCAGGTAGTCCCGTCATAGGTCTGGAATGTGGAGGGGTGCCCTCCCTGCTCTGTCTCTGCTCTCTCTGGCTCGCCAACTGTTTGCTATCTTACACTTGACCTTGTAGATGCTCCAGCTGCAGTTTCCTCGGCTGGGAAATTGAACCGCTTCTTTGCTGGGCCCGCACGAGAGAGATGTATCCATTGGCTCATGCTTACATGGGGGATGTTTGATTCTAGTATAAGTCAGGGGCCCTTGTACTGACGGCCATTCCTGACACAAACTGTACACGTGTTCTTTAGTACTGGACTCATCAATAAACAGTTATCTTCTTATGAAGCCCTGTGTGGTGTGACCTGACTAAGGACCCTTACACCCTCTTGAAAATTACCTCATCTCTCCTGATTCCCCCCTCCCATCCCGTGGGCTGCAGGTTCTCATGAACCTTCACATTCCTAACTCCGGCCTTGAAGATGATAAGGGCCACATAGGCAAAGAGGCCCTGCAAGATGGAATCAGCGCGTTCCTGTTCACATTCACCCTTGGGAGGAATCAGGGGTCCTTTGCCCCCCCCCCACACACCCCTGATCTGGAGGGGGTGTAGGCCTGATCTTCTGGTAACCGCCACCAGAGAACCAGACTTCTCGTGAAACTCCCCTAGGGTCAAAAAGCAATCGAGCAAGTTAGCGCAGGCGTTTAAGAGAGCTAATCACACACACAGGCAACATTTCCTCACGGCGACAGCTCTCATGCCAAATCACCAATTTTCTTTTTTAATTAAAGGGGTACCGGAGGATCATTTGAAAGCTCTATGGAGGCAGCTTCCAAAAGGACAACGCCGCTGGAGTGCAGACGAACATACCCTACATCCAACAGACAGGCACTCTTTGGGTTGCTGCTGTCTTGAGACCAGTAGCACATTGAGAGAGGGGCCCAGCAGCACGTCGAGAGAGCAGCAAGGTTTTCCTTCGTCATCCGAGCTTTGACCCTCGACAGTTCCTACCCACAAAATCTAGCTCTTTTATCAGGATGCTGCGTCTGCCCCAAACTCCTTGTTTTCTCTCCTCAGTTGCCTTCATCGGCATCACGCCATCTCCCTTGTGGGAGGGTGTTAGCTGACGGTCGGACGTTCTGGTTGAGGTTCGGAAAAGGTGGGGGGGGGGGCTTCTCGGCTACAAAGAATCCCTACAGTGGATGTTCCGGCCAGACGGTGGCAGTGTGGCGATTGACATACGGGTCCTGAAGCCTGGTCAACAAGCAGCTGTGCAGAAAACGACGGAGCCAAGCCAGAAGACGTCTACACCGGGCAGTGACGGTGTGTGCAATTAAATGAATATATGTTGTCTTCCCTATCCCCTACAAACATTGTTAGTCCCTTGTCTATATTGAGTAACTGTACATCGCTTTGAGCCCACTGGGGAAAGCGATTAATAAATGGAAAGTATTATTATTATTATTTCCTTAAAGACACCTGCTCCTGGGGAGGAAAGCGACGGCAAGCCTAGACAGCATCATAAAAAGTAGAGACATCACCCTGCCAACAAAAGTCCGCATGGTCAAAGCAATGGTATTCCCAGTAGTCATGTATGGCTGCGAGAGTTGGACCGTAAGGAAGGCCGAATGCCGAAGAATAGATGCCCTCGAATTATGGTGCTGGAGAAGACTCTCGAGAGTCCCTTGGACTGCCAGGAGATCGAATCAGTCAATCCTAAAGGAAATCAACCCTGACTGTTCCCTGGAAGGCCAGATAGCTGAAGCTGAAGCTCAAAGACTTTGGCCACCCGTGAGAAGGGAGCACTCGCTGGAGAAGAAGACCCTGATGCTGGGAAAGACGGAAGGTCAAAGAAGAAGGGGATGGCAAAGGATGAGATGGCTAGACAGTGTCAACGATGCAGCGAACACGAAATCGAGCAAACTCCGGAGCACGACGGAAGACAGGAGGGCCTGGCGTGATGTGGTCCGTGGGGTCATGAAGACTGTGCGACTGAACAGCAACAAAAAGAGATGCCATCCTCCAGATGGAACCTGGGGATCCACCAGAATTAGAGCGCCACTTCAGACTACAAAGATCAATTCCCCTGTAGAAAATGGATGCTTTGGAGGGTGGTCATCTATGGCATTGTACCCCACTGAGGTCCCCGTCCTCCCCAGGATCCATCCCTAAGTCTTCAGGAGTTTCCACACTCGGATCTAGCAACATCCCCCCGCCACCTGGAAACCCGCCTTCTCTTTTCCAGAATGCAAATCCTGCGAATGCCTGTAGACTGTGAAAAGGAACGTATGTTCTTTGAGCCAGCTGATACCCGCCTACCCTCCCAGATTTAACCGCCGCCCTATGGAGCAGAGCACCTCTGAAAGGCACCCAAGGGCAACGACCGCAGCTTCCGACGGAAGGAAGGAGCCGGACGCCGAGTTGGAAAGCTCTCTGCATATTAAGTGCTCTTTTTTTATGTAGAAAAAAAAAACATACAAAGTCCTGATACGAAATATACAAAACCCAGCAAAGGAAAAAACAAGTCGCCTTTCTACAAATATCAGTAGCATTGCATAGAACAGCCTCTACGGGGTGCAGGAGAAGGGGGGTGGGGGGGTGGGAAGGAGCTGACGCTTCGGGGCCATCGCTAGGGGAGACGTATGCATTCATTCGTGTGTTAGAAGCCGGCAAGGGGGGGGGGGAGTTGCATACATAACATTGCTGGTGCCATGCTGTTGCGGAAGTCATTCGCCCCCTCCCCAAGACCACAATGCATTGCAGCGCCCGGGAAAGCACTGAGTCCGAAAGCGGAGCTCCCCCCCCGCCACAACTCCACAGCAACCCCTCGCAGGGCGCTGCGCAACCGGGGAGCTCTTATTGCTTCAACTGAGCCAGAGGGAGAGAGAGCCGAGAGATCGCCACGATCGGAGGCAGCCGGGATGATTTTAAACTCGACACTGGCGACCAGGGAGTCCCCAGTCGGGCAGGCCGGAATCACAAGACGGGGGGAGAGCGGGGCCGGGATGACACCGTGGTGGCAGAGAGGTGTGCGTCGGCTCTTCGGCAAGCGCTCAGAAGCGGGAGGGTCCGCCCGACAAGCGGGATCCTTGCGGCCGGAAGCGCGGCCAAGGTGCGGAAGTCGACAGCTTAATAACGCTGAACTGAATGGG